GTGACATAATTTTAAATGTCATATCATGCATTTCGAATAAGATCGTAATTGGTGGGGGAATCTAAAGGGGAGTGGTGGACAAAGAAGCTCAGAACACAAATATCATTTGGGCCGGCTCTCCACCATTTCAGCATGTGGATCTAACCAAACATGTTAATCGTCCTTAGAACATCAGCTAGGCATTCGGAATGCACCAACTGACGCCAACTTCGAAGTGAGAGTTTTCATTTCTCTCGACCAAGTCATCGCTTGGTCTCCCTTCCTCCACTTCCAACCGCACCCCGGGCGCGCAAACAATGCACGTCGCGGGAGGCGTGTGCCGCAATGCACAACATGTGTGTGAGCACATGGTGGTGAGCGGTTCACTGGCACTTCCTGCACCAAACACGCGACGCCGAACATATTCATTGCCACCGCAGTGCTCCCATCAGACATGAGCGGTGACAGCGATGATCGAACATGGCTAGCCTCTTTATGTCTGTCGACCTGATGGGTCAGGTTTCACAACCGTATAAAAGAGTTTAACGGACGCTTGCATTATAAACTCTACCTTTCACGGTTACAGTGATGTCGCATCAGCGTCACAGGTGGCGGAGATTGGCAAAAGCATCTCGAGCTTTTGCTATACGGTTCGTAACATCATCTTCGATCCCACTGGTACTAGTATAACTGCCTAGGTACTTGTATTCCTGAACGAATTTTAGCTGATCACCACCAAGGGTCAGCGTGGGGGTGGGTCCAGCCAACCTTGGAGCAGAGCTTTGCATTTTGATGGGGCAAAGCATAGCGGAAAACAATTGACAGCCAGTACTGCTTGCAAGTTTGGGAGCTGTCACAGATGAGGGCAATCTCGTCCGCATACTCAAACTCAAGAAGTCGCTCACTAAGAACTAGCTCCACACCTTGTAATTCGTATCCGGAGAACGCTGCTTCCAGGACTTCGTCAATGATGAAGTTGAAAAGGAAAGGTGACAGCGAGTAACCTTGTCTCATACCGCTGGAGATACTGAAGAGCGGCGGCAGTTTGCCATAAACCCTCACCTGACCCGAAATATGCACGTACAGCGCTCTGATAATGTTTACGCAATTATCGTGAACACCTTTCCTGAGCAGACAGTCCCAAAGGGGACATCGGTCAACCGAAGCGAAAACACATTTGATGTCTAGGAAAACGACTATGGTGGACCGCCAACAAAATAGGCGGTGATCCAACAATTGACGCAAAGTGAAGATGTGGTCGATGCATCCCCAACTTTGACGAAACCCGGCTTGCTCCTCACGAATCTGGCTTTCAGGAGTGCAAGGGGGACCATGTGGCAAATGACATCGGACGAAAGCTCCGGTCCGCCCTAACGTAAACCTACACGACAGCCCAGTTGCGACTCAGGCATACCACGCGAGCACTTGTTTTTCATAACCGTCAGAGCATCTCGTCGGGTAGTTCGGCCTCTCACGTTGTTTATCAGTTCACCTGCGGATGCGGTGATATTTACATAGGCAGAACAAACCGTCAGTTAGCTCAGAGGGTAGCTTAACACTTGCCAAAGTGGTTGGTACAAGTGATTACGCAACAACATGGGACGAATCTGAGAATCAATCGGAGCCCGTCATCGTCTATCACCAAGCACCTCATGACAACCCGTCATCATGTGAACCCCGAGACAGCGTTCAAAGTGTTATTACGTAACAAAAGTCCGATAATGCTAGCAATCAGTGAGGCGTTGTTAATTAAGGCTTATCAACCTGTGCTATGGGCACAGAAACTCTTGAGGCAATCAATTCGGTTGCCATGGTCTTGACTGTGACATTTTGATTGGTGGTGCCTTTAATTTTTCCACGTATATAATCCCTTACGTGTTTCTGATCGTATTGTGTTTGCGACTGATGAGAACAATCGAAATGTTGACATGTCGCAACCTCTGTCTTCTCTCTGCATTAAGGAAATGGCTTTCAGGAGTGTCAGTCAGTATGTGGAGAACGACAGACGCAAGCAATTTAGAGGCAACTGAGATCAGACGAATCCCTCTGTGAATGCCGCATTCCGAACGAGAGCCTTCCTTGAAAATTGGGGCTATGATGGAGCAGCTCCAGTCTGTCGGGACAGTTTCCTTCTCCCAAGGTTTCGGTAACTCATGTAAATCATCTACAAAAACATCCCAGCTCCAAATTTGTAGAGGGCTGGAGGACTTCCATCTGCTTCTGTGGCCTTATTCAATTTCAACAATCTGATATCACGTTCGGTTTTTGGGCGTGAGAGCGGATCCAAGAAGACGGCCCAGGGAGAAGGGCACTCAATGCCCGAAAAAGAAAGCGATAACTCAGACTGGTTAAACTGTCTTACAAAGTGCTCGGCCCAATGGTCCAAGCGTTTTGACAAGCTGTGGATCAGTTGTCTACTCTCGTCGTGTATGGTCTCGCTAACACCAGGGCTTCTGCTGCCCGTTTCTCGTATCCAACGGAATAACTTCTGATGGTTACCAAGGTCTGCAGCTGTTTCCACCTCCGAGGCACGGGGAGACCACTAGACTTCGCGGTCTCTTTTCAGGTTAGCACGCTGTTTTGCCCTGAGGCTTTTGCGAGCCTCACTGTATTCGCTTCCATCCGGAATACGTCAGCGAGTTTCCATAGGTTTTAGAGACTGTGTAGACACAATTCCCAGGTTGACAATTTGATTTGCCACATGAAGACATGGCTGCTGATATTAACGTGGGGCGAACAAGCGACCACTGATATGCAACTGGGTTCAGTTGGCGTTTACTCAGCACGCATGCCAGCGTACTTTGATATGCATTCGGTACACCAGGCTTCGCCAGTTGGCGGGTGTCTATGCGGTCGCAGTGACGTTGCGGACGTCCGTCGAAACTCACCTGTAGGTCGGCACACACAAGAGCGTGACCGGAGTCCACGCTCGTGCTCCAATTCAAGCAACAGTTTTTAAGGCAACCTCTCCAGCCTTAACTGATTGTAATGTGATGGATTTGCATTTATAGCTGGTCCGAGGCCGGTGGGCACCAAGTCACTCTTCCGCAGGTGCTGTGTCGAAAGTTAGCGCTCGTGAGAAAGAAAGGAATATCTTCAAATGTTTAGCAACCACTCATCGTTATCATTATGGGAGCCTACTCTAAGTTGGCCACCCAGATGAAGCTCGTCAGAAGACAATTTTCCGACTTATGCGTTTAGATCACCAGTAGGCAACACGGTATCCATACTTTTTCTGTAATGACGGAGATCCTTAAGCTGGTGGTAGAAATCACCTTTCAAGTCGACGGCCATGTGACCAACTTGTATCCCTCTGCTAGTGGCTTACCTGATATATACCAAAGATATTTCTCATGTTCTTCAGTCAAAGTGTGTTTGTTTGTGGACGACTTGTTATTGTAGAGAGAGATTAGCACTTCTGACCAATAAACATTTCCAGTAAACTTCTATAGACGAGTAGGAAATTAATTATTAAAACGGGATCATGATAGCGCGCGTATGCCTCGTATAGCCGAAAAATTAGTAAAATATTAGGGGGAGAAATTCATCACATCTAAACTCAATCAGGCAGCCCCCACACGCCCGCAAAGCACTGTACTGCCATTTCATCTTTGCGGAAATGATCAGAAGTGCCATTTCATGCTGACTCCTGTAGGTCTTGGATCCGCAACTCATGTAGTACCAGCCTGTCATTAATACCATTGAGCTAAGGGGGACGGCAACGACCATCGCGACTAAGTTCATATATGTGATGTCTGTTGCCCAAACCACAGGATGACAACAGTCGATTTACAGGTTCGAGCCCCAGAGAAGTCAGATGGAATGCGTGGTCCCATCCAAGGACACGTAACCATCGAGTTGTGGGTTCTAGCGCAATGGGAGCCAGAGGGAATGCGCACTACTGAGAATGCCCGAAAGGATGAAACGATCGTACGGTGCTTTTTCGGGCATGTAAGGGCTGTCTGATTGAGTCTAGATGTGGCAAATTTCCACCTATACCAATCAACCCCCTACTACTCCCTCGTTATAATATTAGTAGTGGGAAACCTGCCAAGTCGTTGGTATGTTTACAACAACAAAGAAGTACCGATGTCTGGGATTTTTGTATCATCACGAAATAGGTATGAAAAAAACAAGCAGTGGGCATCGAGACGCGTAGAAACAGTGTATTATTTAAGTGGCATTCACAGGAGTATCAACCGATATGATCAATGCAAGCCGTCGAATTTTCAAAATCGGAATGGAAGTATAAACGCTGCTCCCTGCTCAATACAGTCCGTAGCCGGGTGGTTAAGGAGATTTATGATGTAACTTGCGAACATGACCTATTATATGTATCTTGAGTCAATTTGGTTTCGAGTAACTTCCAAATGACTATACAAGCACCGACCCACACACCAAACATGATCGATAAAAAGTAGCTCATGGGTCACAGAAAGAACTGTTGAATAATTATGAAATTTGAGTAGTCACAGGAGATTATAATACAGCGCTTGAATTTCGATGTATTTATGATACTGCTTGAATGAAGGCAGAAAATGGATGTAAACTGACGGCTAAAATTCTATTCTCCACGGTAAGTGACCAAAGGTTTGATGGGGGTTAATGTTTTGTGGGAGGCGAAAACAAAATATTAGAAGGTAGACCCCGTCTAACTGCTCTAGTGGGTCGTAGCCGTTCTTATTGTGGACATGCCAGATTTGGGCTCCTCGATGAAACTTAACAATCCACTATAAATGGCAGTATTCAGCATTAATCAACCGCGTGGTATTTATTTGACTTGGACCGGTTTGGAGTCGATGGTACATGTCTTTAACCGTATAGATTGAGAAAATGCGGTGAGTTGCACAACAAAACGGACACTTAAGCCGATCCGTATCGCTTGTGATTCTACCAAGTGCAACAGTAGTTGCATACAATGTCAACTACGCGACACAGTGGGACATGGGGGACGATCGAAAGTGGTAATGTCAGAAGAGTGCTTCGTTGAGACGTCGGCGAATCACGAACAGAGGACTCACTAGAATTTGTGGAATGTATCTTGTGTCCCGCCGAATCATTTTTCTTTTTTGCCACTCCCGAAACCAGTTTTGGATGAGGAACGTGGCGTAAAACTTGCCAACAGTGACCACATCACTGCCTACATTTGGAGAAAATACAATTTACGAGAAAAAGGGTTAAATACATGTTGGTTGCATTTTGGCTAATGTGCTTGTTGTATGTTGTAACGAATCAGTCGGTGAAAATAGGTCGTTCTCACCTTTCGGTGGAATAATCTGGTCTAGAAGCTTTGGGCTTGTTCGTTTCCAAATCCGTTTGATTACAGCTCGCAGTTCCTCGTTCAACTGGTCCAGTGACTTTTCTTTTTCTCTATCATCTATAAGGTTGAACGAGGTAATTGACTAAATGATAAGTCCCAGTTGCTGAACTGAGTAAAATTCACTTCAGAGAAAATCGCGGTTTAGATGCATTCTGCGAGTCACAGTCCAATCACGCAATGAGCACTGCAGAATAGCCCCTACCTCATGCTGTTGGTTGTTCAAATTCAGGTTAAAAGTTTGGCAACAGTGATTAATAGCATATTTAAATGCATCTCAAAAGTTTGGGACACAGCAGTTCGAACATACTCTATATTTTGTTAAGGAATAACATCCCTTTACCGAAACAGCGCGATGTACGTGAACTCAAGTCACACCAGTTATTAAAAAATCAAAGAGCCGAAATCGAACGTGATGCGTGTTGAATCGAATCCGCTGGAAGTTACCTACTCCCTTGATAAAGAAAGACCCACGCATTATTCGGAGTTGCCTCCAGACCACGTCACTACTGCAAGCACCTGAGGCAAACTCAGTAAAGTTTACAAGGCAGCAGCCTTCTACAATGCTGATTGGATGCTTGGAACCAATTTATCTGTAGAATTGATTCCGCCAGGCTGATACTTGACGTCTACACAACTGGGGGTTTCAGATCAGTCAGTGTGACTAAGGACCCCATAAAACATGTAAAGTTGTCAAGCTAATGGAACGGTCTCTCGTCGCCAGTTGCTTACATTCCCATATAATAAGTAGAACATCTTTTCTAACCTGTATGCTTTATAGCTTGTGTTTTTTCTATAATCTACAGTCATTTTTGATTTCTATTTCCAGGGCTACAAAACTGATGGCGGATGGTCCGGTGACCCGGTCAGATCTGAGTGTAGTGAAATTTAAGTCCGTGATGAATGTATGAGTGTGAAAGAGATAGGCGGCAGTTTCAAAATTCATATTCTCGGTAAAGCAGGTACACATTCAAAGTTGAAATACCAGATATATTTAGTTCAAAACCACTCACAAAGAAGGAGTGCATGTGGAAATGAAATCGAAACAAGTTCGTTTGCAATTTGTCACTTATTAATTTATATATCATTAAGATCGCCACTGGTCAAATTTGCCCGTATCATTTCGTACTATGTGGTCACGTTAGCTGAAGATGAATGCACAAAAGGTTATCAGAAGAAAACAAGTTATGTGGTCCTTTTTTAAACGACAATTTCGCATCGCATGCAATATTGTACTTAAGGTGAAGTCGTTTCTCAGGAAGGATTTCATGACAGTATTGTGGAAATAAAAGAGGGTTCAGCGCCCTCTGCTTTGAACCGGCCACGGGTATCTGCATCGAAACATCGGTGTGCACTGAGAAACCCGGTATTTGGGAATACGAAAAAGCAATGCCGGTGACCTGCGGCGTTCAACTGTCATGCTTGCATCAGATAAAAACAGTACAACACGTCGAAGAAGAAAATGGCGTTTGAAACAGCAGGTTATCTGTTCTATTAGGCAGTTGTCACCCTTTCAGTGGAAGTACGTGCTATTTACGCACAGCTGATGGGTGGTGCATACCTGTGATAAGGTCAGGTATACTGCCAGCAACTGCAAAATCACGCTAAAAAGTAAAGTTTCTCCCTAAAAAATGACTTTGGCACGGCAGTACTAAGTGAACTACCTGATAAGGAAAACGAGTCAACTAACTGTGAGATTGGAACATTTGTTAGTAGAGTGCCGAGCTGTTTAAATAGCGGGTACATCAGGTGATCGCACGATTGCATGCATTAAAACAAAGAGAAATATATTTCGGTGCCTATCGCTAACAATGAAACCCACGACCGGTCTAAAATTCCCTTTCGACCTTCAGTTATCTATTCCTGAAGTGCCTAAACAACCAGAAAGTTGGCCATAATGTGCAGTATTGTCGGGGAAGCAACACCATTATGCTCGTACACGTAACAGGGTTCTAGTGAACAGATGGTCAATCACTAGCTTCATCGAAGTGATGCTAGAATCGATCTTGATCGTAGAGATCCAAGGTCACGTTAAGCATCTTGAAGGTCAATAATAAAGTAGGGATTATTTTGATCCTACGCCTGTGACGCAGCGGATTGCTTCGTATATCCAAAACGTAATAAACCACTAGTGTCAAACTAATCTACCAATCTGCTGTGCAGAAGTGCTTCACAGCTAGTGCGGTAACAATGAAGTGAAATGTTTTCAGCTCGTGACATAGTAAGCGATGAAAATCAGATGGTGATGTCAGAATGACTCGAGGGCTACGGTGACCAACGAAAAACATCCCCAACGTTTTCTCCTATGAGTAATGTCCCTATGCATGAATCTGGCCATGGCGACCACTTACCCAAGACGACGACCACTTTTTGTCGGTTGCTTGAGTGGTCGCCTTAGACGGGTGTCAGAAATTTCATAGTACAATACGTTTGTTGTATGTTGTCACACAAATAGTCATGTGGATTAACTTTGTTGCCATTTGTGAGTCGAAGAAAAGATTGCAGCGGGAGCCAAAATTGTCGAGAAAATTAGATATCGTCACTGTATAATTGAACCGTTTACCTCAATTGAATGTATGGCTTAACCAGGAGTTATTAGTAACCAAGAGGTTCACGGACACTCATGTCTGAACAGACGTTTATAAATTTTACGTTAGACACCTCGGGTATGACACATTTTATAGGATGCAAATGCCGATAAACGCTCTGGAAAGATATATGAAAGATAAAATGGTATTTGTATTACACAGCATTCACATTCAAGATAAAGGGTCATTAATGACGATGGTGCCTGATTGACCACTGCGCCATTCCCCGAAACTGACCTCCCGGTATTTTTATCTTCAAATTTCTTCTGACCAGAGCAAACAGAGTGGCGTTGAAGAACACCGTCCCATCACTATTCAGAGGCATATTCATACGCACCAGTTTCTGAAGAAAAAATGCACAAAATAGTCAGTGTGCACTTTAAAAACAGTAAGCAGCGGGAACGAGAGAAGGGGTGGGCAACCGAAATAATCCGTGCTGCAAAATAACTGCAGATTGGAAGTGAATGATAGCCTGGTTAACACGTGCGCCAAATGAAAGGAATTACGGTGCGGTGAGTAGACAGGAACATCCGGTAACGTCGCGAACGTAGCAGTCTCATATGAGCCGAAGCTGCGAAATATGGAAAAAGGACCGCGCAAACGCACATCAGCATGCGAGTGCCGCGTCGCTCATCTGTTTCTGAATGTGAATAAAATACACCCAATTCTTTTGTTCAAAAAGATGAAAAGTCGAAGACTGTCGGTTATGTATCGTAAGCAACACTCTTCTTGGGAATACCAAAGCTAAATAATGGGACAGACGGAATAAACAGAATTTAGTGAAGAAAATTCCATTTATTAGCCTGTCTATTACGAGTAGCTTAATAGTTAGAATGGAGGAGGTTGACGAATGCTAGCAGTTGAACTGTTCGCTGAGCTTGGCAAGTTTGCTGCAAACGTTTCGTCACCAATCGAGGTGATATGATCAGAGCGTTGTTGCGCAATGTGTGGCAAGTAGCGTAGCATAGAGAAGACTCTGGCACGCTCACCGAGGCTTCTCTACGCTACGCTACTTGCAACACACTACTCAACAACCCATTGATGATGTCACCTCGATTGGTGACGAAACGTTTGCAACAAACTTGCCAACCTCAGCGAACAGTTCGACTGCCACCAGAACAACCTGAGCTACCAATTTTCGCTCTTATTCCGTAGGCGAATGATGTTCATTGGCAAGGTAAAGCGGCCAACCACGACTGACAAATACACATCGGTTCTTAGGGATCAACGCAAATTGCAGTTTACTGAGGTGAAATGAACGTGCACGCGAGGTGTATCTGTCTCCCCATAACCGTTTTTCGTTGAGAGGCACCAGAGGTCAAAGGGGACTAAAGCCAGAGGAGTACGATTAGTCTGTGAATGCGCCTGGACAACTCGTATTAAGGCATAAATACACTGCCGTGGATTACTGGATGAGGTATGCAATTGGTGGGCAGTTTAGGTCCGCTAGTGACAGTACGAACTCGGTCATGTTTCGCAATTTGCGCTCAGTGTTCGAGAATACGAGTTCCTTTACTTGAGTGACACTAGTGCATCCTTTTCTGTTTTCGGTATCCACTTATAAAACTTTGCATTTTTAAATGGCGTTAGTTTACATTATCCGCAGTTGATATTGTAAAGTGCTGAAAATTCATCCATCCGGCTACCTAAACTTTACCCTGAATTTATTTGAGTAAGTAATATAAATTACGCAAGAACAGGAGGAGACATAGTCAATGTCATGAAATATATACGTAAAAACCGAAAAACCGATCATTACACTAAGTTTGGGATAACTGTCGCTGAGTTATTATGATCACGACAAGCAGCTGTGGTCCACGGATAGAATAAGAAAGAACGGGGATTTGTGGATCATGAAGATCGTAAGCCCAGGTTATTGGCAGTATCAATCAACAGCCCTCGGGCACGGGTCGACACGTTTCATGCAAGCTGTGTGAGAAAACATACAGTATAACCTGCGCTGAAGTAGGCCACTAACAGAATTTCCTAGAATGCGCGAATTTTGGATCTTGTTAGCAATTTGTCGATTGTGTTTACACGACATTTAGTGATTTTCAACAACCAGTAGTTTGCCAACGAAAACACAACTTTCAAATAACATTGCAACTTTCTGACGAGAAGGTAGAAATGGAAAATTAGCAGACCTATCGTTTGCATGAAGAAAACCATTTTATTCTCAGTTTATTGAACGGATCCTCAAAAAGGAAAGCAAGTTGATTTTAAAAACGCATATGTGATAACTCGGTCACATTCCATGGCCCTAACTACGCCTGAATGAACACGCTATCGTGCCCGGATTGTGGTGGAAGACCCGATTTCAGGACGGATGCTGTGCGAAAGGACACCAAACGAAATCCAATAGCTATCACAATAAGCGTTACGCGGGCGGCAATAAGATGACGAGTGGGCACATAAGCTCACCCTAGGAGGAACAGAAGACGCCCATCTTCCGTCTCATTGGCACTGCTCAGGGAGAGGCCAGTGTGGCATTAACGCACGGGCAACTAGAGAAGCACGAAAGCGCGTTCGCTAATTAATGACCGTGTCCTAGTTAGCGTGTGTGCTACTATATTCGTCCAGAGGGTCCAGCACTAGATTGCCCAAGTCGCAGTGTGCAAGCCAGAATGCGGTGTCACATCAAAATCATGGACTAGAAAATCAGAAGAAAGCAATTCGGTGACGAATGGCCACTAATGTCAATCGAATGATTGTGGAACGTTTAGCGTCCACCCGCACTCCTTGTGCCAGGTATGCTTGTGTGGATAACCAATGCTGTGATAAATTTAATTGTAGAACACCACAACCGACATTAGCTAGCCTGAGATACCACTAATGCTTGCTCATGCCGTTGAGAGATCTCTTGATAATGCTTGGGTCGAAGACCACTTCGCAATGATACTGCTCATGAAGCAAGAATTTGCGCACGTCTAACAAGATGGTATCAGCAGTATGCCGGTAGGCAGTGCCGACGCTTCGCTACCGCGCAATCACCACCGGTCACACCTGGGCTAAGGATACTGAGAGGGTCGCCCTGGTCCTACGCAGGCTCGAACTTGCGCCGTCAGATTATAAGACAAACTCGTTACCGAATCCCCAGTTCTCAATGAGCGAAGGTTCAGCAGTCATCCGACCGGCCATAGTTAGCCCCCCCCCCCAGGCAATTGTAAGCCCTTGCAATGATCAGACGGACTAAAGTGACAGGGCTTCTCATGCTCTGTGAGTGATTGCCGTTGCGATCCCAGACGCCTTCTCCTGTTCACAGTCGCAGTGAAAATTGAGCCATGAAAGCAGTAGCTCGAAAGAGCTGAATCAAAACCGCTCCGGTCTACCGCCATACTCATTACCTGCAAAGTAGGTAGAACAAAACGTAATGGGTAACTTGCTCGCAATTGAACTGGCTGCGCCCACGCGATTAAGCCAATGTTACAACGAGCACACCAAACGAATGCTGTACGTCCAGTAATGCTGAACCTGGTGATGCTTGCTAACCAGAATTCTGAGTGCACTGGTGATCCGCTTGGCCTCAGGAGCGTTGTGCACTAGCAAGAGTAGTCACAAAGACTGGTGCACGATACAAAGAGCCCGCATAATTTAGGTTAGTGAACAAAGATATCTCGAAAAACAGTGTTCATTTTCCGCATCAGATGAGTTGCAGTGCTGTGATAAGACGTCTCCAACCGACTCAGGTGGGTACTGACAGACAGAGGCCGAGATTAGTTGTTTTAAATCAAGTATAGGAATCTGAGATGGATAGGTTGAAGTTGGTTATCTACAGTGGTGAAAGGTAAGCACAGAAGCACAGTCGTCTTTAAGAAAGCACACGTTTAGGATTCGAAATCGCTGGACGGATCAAGAAGTTGAGAGTTCGAAGAGGTTTGGTAACAATCGGCTGACGTGTTTGTTGGGCAACATTTCGTTTTTGACACCAGGTGAATCAGAACACATGTGGCGTGGTATTTTATGGCGAACAGGAGCGATCATCGCGATTGTCAGAGAAATCAGTCAAGGTGGGATTGCACTTACAGATCAGGATGCCACCTCAAATATATGCATCTACCAATTTTGTCTTCTTGTCGCATTGTTCAAATCCCTAAATTCTTCAAATCCACCCGATAACCCGTGTCTAAAGTATGCACAGCCACAGCTGAGTCTCTTAATAAGGAGAAGTATTTGAAATCATTTGTCGGAGGTCGTGAAATCCGTGTGTGTAGCTCTCTCGCAATTTAACGTATGTATATATGTGCACAGTCTTAACACTTAATTTTATAGACGCAGTTTGTTACCATGGCCGTGGGAAGGTGGTCCTTTAAAAGCAACTGCACTGAACGTAATGTTTGTCCACGCTGGAAGACTGCTCTTATATTCTCCTCGTTAAGTACCCTCCGAACCCCGGAGACGGTTCCTTCCTTGTATGGAATTCACACCATCCCTATCCACTCCATCGTGGGTCTTGACTGTAACTGTCTTTCGACTAAGCGCCGAGGATAACCACTATATGATAATTTACCTGTTGCTTCTTTCCTCGCGGCATTTTGCTCTCCTTCATCATGCACAGGGTCTATGTCTTGTAGAACAGTGCTGAGGTTATACCACCGAATTGTAGTGCAGCAATTCATAAGCATCAGCCGGCTTACGGTATGTTGTTTTCAAATTACCATTTATATGAAGTAAGCAGTCAAGAAATGGTGTAGTGCCATTCTTAGGCTATAACTCTATGGTAAGTTTCATACTCTCAGCAACTGAGTTCAAGTGAGTTAACAATTCTTCCTTCTTATCCCATTATGTGATAACAAAATGGACATCAGCGTACCGCCACCAAACTTTCGGGGAGTTACGGATGTTTGTTAGCGCACTGTTCATGAAATCTTCCATACATAAGTTTGACAGCACAGGATATTGCTGATCCCATGGCCAGACCACTTTCCTGGGTGTACAGCTTCTACTGGAAAAAGAAGTATGACATGATAAGGTATACTGCCATACCCACGAATATTTGGTCAATTGTTGGTTGTATTCTGTCATCCAGAGTATTGTCATCACTTAGACAACTCCATGTTATTCCTAGCGCGTGTGTTTTGAGCACATTGGTAAAAAGTGAGGTAACGTCGGACCTTACCATCATGTCATCCGGTTCAGTGGTGAGTCCTGCTATCTTCCGAGTGAACTCGTAGGAGTTCTTCACGAATATACTCGTTTGCCCTAAGGGAGTGATTGCAATAGCCCGCTAAAATCCTAGCGGAAGTGAAATGACCGTAATTACTTCATGTCAACTTAAACTCGGGCTTGCGTGAGAACGAGATGCGGTCAAGTAAAATTAGAAACTTTTTTCAACAGTTGGCTTTA